TGGTGCCAGCCAAGATCACCAAAAGGAAAAAGTATTGGATATTGGAGTGGATCATAACATCCATAATAGTACTGTATATTTTTTGAAGCACCACTATGGGTATGAACTCTAATATCACGCCTGCCGGTTTCTCCATTTTCTTGCCCCTCAACCCACAAACCAGCAACTTGTGAAGTTGTCGGTCTATTATAAACTCTTTGATCAACACCGGGCAGAGTTTTTAACACAATGTAGTAGTTATCTAAATTAGGTACCTCTCTCAAATTTCTAAAAAATTTTGCATATGGATTAGACTCAAGAACTTGCATAATTTTTCTAATCACACTTTCAGATAGTCTAGGACAAGCTGCTAATCGATTGCTTACTTCAGTTTCAAAATCATTGAAATATAACTGTAAATTATTACTATGATCATTGCTTGAATTGAAATCATTCAGAAAATGATATATTTGTCCTTGAATTCTAAAAGTGTAAATTCCTTTATTCCTTTTTGAGAGAGTCAGATCAGCTTTAACACCGAAGGAAGTGAATCCAAAATGATTATTATACGTTCTAATAAGAGCTCTAAAAGATTGTGCCTCTTGTGAAGATGAAGTCAATAGCTCTTTAAAGATATCTGGAATTTTATTTTGAGCTAAAATAACTTCACCATCTTGGCAACAAAAATACGCTGTCTCAGAAAAAAACTTCTTCGCTCCACAATGAGGACAATCTAGTTGGCGTGGTAGGATATCAGCTTTGTCAGGAATTATATCCAACAAAGCTCTTCCTGTTTTGTATCCTCTTCCTAAAATATAATTATTTTAGAGCACTTAGTAGTCAAATCATTCAATTGATTTTAATGCTAGTTTAAAAACAGATATTAGAAAACTTAAAAATATTAACTATAGACCTGGCTGAGTTTTTTTCAGAGATGATCTGCGATGTTTCGAACGAGATCGAGAAGTACACTGAACATCAACAGCTGAGGAACACTCATTCACAATCGTGATGCTTGTTCGATTTTCAATTATATTTGTAGAAGCAATAGATTTAGATTTTGCTCTCAATCTTTTGTTTTTCCATCTAAAGTAGGCCAGTCTCCTATATTCTTTCTTATTTATTACCTCTCCATGATATATTTCAGAATATTCAAGAGGGCTCTTATCATAAGGACCAATTGATCTAGATTTTCCTCTCAATTTTTTCTGTTTCCATCTAAAGTAGGCCTGCCTCCTATATTCTTTCTTATTTATCACCCCTTCATGATATATTTCAGAATAGTCAAGAGGGCTCTTATCATGATATATTTCAGAATAGTCAAGAGGGCTCTTATCATAAGATATAACAGATGTACTACCTATTATAGGTATATGGCTATTCACAGAAAGGGGAGGAATATAATTAGCTAGTTCCATATCTAGATTTGATATTTCAGAATAGCTAATTTTTTCTTTAACGTTTGCAACTTGTTCACTCTGAAACTGATTTTCTATAACAAATGGTTCCTCATTGCAGTTCACTTGTGACAAAGTAGCAGGTTCAACACCACAGAGGTTGATTAAAGATGAATTCATTGTAGGCAAACAATGCTTGTCAGTAGAATCAGAGGTATAATGAACTTCTCCAGTATTTTTTGGAGGAAAGTAAACATTTTTACCTCTGCAGTGATTTGGCAGAATTACATTCCTATCGATGTGATTTTGTGAAGCACATGTTTCAACAGAGTGCTTTTCACGGATGTCATTCTCACAGTTGATTACAATAGGAGAATATGGTTGAGAAACAGAAGAATCAAGAGTAAACTTCATATGCTCAGTCAGCATATTTAAGTTTCTCCTTTTGTTTCTTTCCAACATTGCTAAATCAAGGGAATCATCAAACATCTCATCTATCAATCTAAAACCTGAACTAAATTTTCTTTTTTTCTTCATTTTGAAACACAGAAGATCAAAATCTAATTTTACTATAAATAAAGCAAGATACTAAACCAAAGGTACACAAAATGATAGAATCAAAGCATCCTAGAATAGCTAAAACTAACTAATATATATAAAATGACATCCTTAATAACCCGAAGTACAATGATACTAAATGATGTAATTATTGAATAGATAAACAGCTAACAGCATCATGCAACATTTGAAATTAAAAACAGAGGCAAAAGTAAACCATCATAGCATAACATCAAACACATCGCATTTCTTATAATAATTAAAAGAAAGCAATAAACAGAGGCAACAACAATGGGAAAAAATTGCAGTTCAAATCAGAAGGTGAGAAAACAGAAACATACCTATATTTTCTTTGCTCGCCTGAATGTTTGCAAAAGTCCGGCAGCATTTGAAATTAATATAAAAACAGAGGAAAAAGTAAACGTAAGCTAATCGAAAAATTAGCATCATAATTATTCTTTTATGCATAAAATAAAAGACATGGCAGTCTTTAATTAACGGAAGGCAATAAATGAACAGAAGGTAAGAACATTCATCAAACTAAAAAATTGCAGGTTGAAATAAAAAGACACAGAATAGAAAATACCTAGATTTTCTTCGGTCGTCTGCTGAAGACCGGCAAAACTGAGGAACAAAAGTATATATAGGACTGGGAATAGTAAATTTTGAAAGCTGCATCATAGCATACGTCGGTAGAACAGGCATCCCTAAAATGAGCTGATTTTGGGGAAAAAGAGATATCAGTGAACTGTTTTTTGGGGCAAAAGAAGAATTGACGTCAATTGGGCGACTTTTTTAGAGACAATCGAAAGGAAGTACAGTTAATTGCTCGAGGAATTGACAGAAAATCGAAGATTTTGCAGGGCCGTAGATTTTGGGGAAAAGGAATTTTACTGACCTAATTTTTGGGGCAGGCCAAAAATTCACGTGCGTGTGGAGGATTTTCTGGGTCGAAATCAAATTGAAGGACAATTTAGTTGTTGAAGGATTCGGTAAGAAACTGAAAATTTTGCAGGCCGATATAGTATAGCGGCCTATTCGATCGAGAGAAAGAAAAAGGCTATTCGACAGAAAAGAAGGGGAAGGGAATTCTGGGTAAATGAAGAAAGAAGGAAGTTCAATAAGTAATAAGACAATTAAGGTGCTGTTGACTAACTTCAACATCAGTCATCAGTCATATACTAACGGCTAAGCACATTACTTCTAACGGGCATAACTCCATTAATTTATATTAATTATATAATGAATCATATAATCTAATTCAAAACAGCCCATGTGATAAAAGGGCCCACAAATAGTTTACAATTATTTGCACTTGATCAGAAAATTATAAAAGAAATATTTTCAAAAATACAAAAATAACCCTAAATAGTTAGCAACTATTTAATGAGTTAGTTTTCATAAAAGCATTCAATTGACCTTTCACATCAATTAAAAACCAAACAAAAGGAACAAATGCAAATAACTAAACCATTGTTACCAATTAGCCCCTAAATAGTAAGGAACTATTAAGACATTGAATTTGAAGACCATGCCTGAAATAGACATTTCTCACTTTTTGGTAGAAAAAACCAGGAAAAAAACTCCTTTCTCTAACAATATAGTGACACTTGGCATTCAATTGAGAACTCCAATTGTTCTCTTATCTAGTTGGTAGATACAACTTCCCCAGGAGGAAAATGTTCTCCTTGATTGATTCCATTGATTTCTCTTTCCAACTTTACGAGCAAAATCCAACTCCCTCTCCGCTCGTGGATTATGATTGGCGAATGTGGAAACTTCGAGGGATATGTTCGCAAAGGATCTTTTGTCCGGTAATGACAACCATTTGTAGGCTTTCTTAGCCGGAGCAACTCATACGTCATAAGGCGTCAAATAATCTCACGAGATGCCAATCATACATCTCATAGTATTTAAATTTAGTGGTTATCCATCCCAAAAGCTCGGATATCATTAATGTCGACCTATCCTAACCGTCGAAGAATCCCTTTGGAGTTGCCATGTCTTATAAAAAAAAAATACTTAATTAGTATAACTTTTTTTTATTATCCTCTTGTATCCTTCTTACCCCAAACTATCACGTTCAAGATTCGACCTTGAACCCTAAATCTAACCGCAGGGAGAGTTCTGACAGTCCTTCCCTGATTATTAAGCCATCCCAGTGGTTACTTAATTAAGTGCTAAATTTATTTTCTTTTTTTTTGTAAGTGAGAGGTTTTGAATTTAATATCTCTTATTTACAATTTTCTCTATCTTATCATCCAACTCAATCCTCCTCCAAGTGCTTAATCATATTTTATTTGGGTGCATACTTGCATTATTACTTTTTCTATTTGATACATGCAAAAATCCTATGTTAATTCTTTTTCTGTTTCCTAAGATTCCAATAACTAGTAAGGGGGTAAAAGCCAAAATATAACTAGTTAAAACAACATTATTTTTATAGCCTGTTATAATTTGTTTGTTACACTAGTGTTAGTTATTAGAACTTAAGTAAATAAAAAAAATTTAATATAGGGTGTTTTTGAACAAAATTATAATAATATAATGAAGGGAGGGATAGAGAATGAAATAAGACGTGGGACAAAGGATCTTTTGCTGGCCACCTTGTACTTGGATTCATTAATCTACATTTAGTTATTTATTTATTGTTTTGAATTGTGGCAGCACTCATAAATCTCATTGAGAATGGCAACTGAAAAAGAAAATTGGAGACCTGCCGATTTTTATTAATTGCAAACGGAGAAAATGGATGTGACAGTTGAAATGAACTTTATTTGGCAACCCCAATTAGATTCCAACATTTTTATTCTCGTCTCCGAGTTTTATTTATAACTTCTCTCGAAAAATAATTTCCGGTGATCTAGTCCACAGGAGGTTTATATTGGTAGCCCTTATTTTTCGTAAAATCATTAATCACTTGCAAAGAATCCAGCCACAGGCCTTTCCAAACTTTAAGGTCCATCATCAGCGACCCAAACCAAGTAAACAAGATGGATCTATAATTATTTATTGCAGGATAAACCTATCCGAGCAAACATTCAAATATAAGGAATTTTTTAACGAAAAAGGAAGAAGAAAGAATAAGAAACTCGCACAAAAGATAAAAAGGAGGAAAATGGCGAAGAAATTTGTTGCCGCGTTGCTTTTGTGCATGGTTGCCATTGCAGCAGTTCACATTCTGAAGGCCGAAGCCGTCGATGAGAACCAATTCAGAGACTGCTACAGTACCTGCCACAAGGAATGCTTCAATGACGGCTCCGGCAATGGCTTTACCTTCTGTGAGATGAAGTGTGACGCCGATTGCGCTGGAAAAGAGATTAAGGGTACGTAAAAAAAAAAAAATGCTTTTTTTCTTTCTGCTCGTAGCTTTGTGCATGGCTCGAACGAATTTTGAATTTCGAAATTACAAATATTATATCATGTCCCGATATAATTTCTTTTGTGCAGCCAAAATTGCAGAAATGGCATCTTGAAGGATAAACAAGGCTGCAGGTTGAAGAGCCCATCAGGGGTTGGGAAAAATAATTTTTCAGCCTTCAATTCGAGCTTTTCCATGGGATTATGGAGAAATAAGTGTCATAAGTTTTTTTTTTTTTTTTTTTTTTTGGAGCATTGATTGAAAGCAATCGCATGCTTGGTAGGACTATAATAAGGTGTGGTCAGACATTAATATTCTGTGTCATGCCCACCATTACATTTCTTGTTGAATTGAATTTTTGTATTTTCCTAAAGTGGTTTTTACCAATTCACCTTTTCTTTGCTCTTTATTCTTTAAAAGAAGGAGAATTGCGCATCCAAGAGTATATTACGATTGACTAGTGCTCGAATGCTTTTCCGCACAATTTCTTGCTTGTGGGCAAGCATTTTGTTTCTATTCTTCCATCATCACAGGTAACGTCAGTTAGTACTTTTTGAAGTAGGCAAGGCCACGGTTCCAGAACCAACGGTTCTAGTTCTTTAAAGAGGTAGAACCAGAATCGCATAGTTCTGATTTTGGTTCCTTATGGTTCTGGTTCTGGTTTCCGGTTCCGTATGGTTGTATACAATTTTATTTAATTCCTTATCCTTAACAATTTTAATACGAATATAACAATATATTTCAAATTTCAAATAAAATGTAAAAAAATAAATACAAAATAAAGATCATATTTTAATTTTATTATTATTCTACAAAGTAAGAAGTAATAAATAGATAATATAAATTTTATGAAAAGTATATTACATTGTCAAATTAAAAAATACATTACACTATCAAATGGTTGTCATGTGTTGACTTTCTTGAGTTGAACAATCATCAATGTTGAAGATTCCATTTGAAGAAATATTTCAAAAAATATTTTTTTGCTTGCTTGATTTTGAAGATGAGCTACTACCATCAAAACTTGTCATTTGATAGCAAATAAGCAAAAAAAAAAATTGTAAGTAATAATTTAATACTTACAAATTATAATGATAGATATTAGTTGAATAGAAATAATTAAATAATTAATAAAATATATAGAAAGTCCATAAAATTTAAACTTTCTTAAAACCTATTAAACACAACTAATTTTTTTTGAATTATCTCACTACTTATATTAATTTTTTTTAAATTATTTTTAACGGTTCTGGAACCGGCGGTTCTGGTCTGGTTCTATTTTTTAGAGAATCGGAACCGGAACCTTTATCCAAAGTTCTACCACAGTTCTGGTTCCATAGTTTTGATTCCGATTCTGATCCGGTTCCAAACTGTCCGGTTCCCGATTCCAAATGGAATCATGGCCATGCCTACTTTGAGGCTCGTTGTGCCTTTACCACAGTGGCTTGAGATATCATATTCACTGCAGTAGACACGGTAACAAAGCAAAGTCAATGAATTAATGTAGTAATTCAATGACCAATGCAATCAATGTGTACGAATTTTTTTAGACTTACTTGTAAAAGTTTTTAATTACTTTGATGAACAAGGACACGACTTGTACTTGGGCAAAACTCAATGATAGGGTTATAATTGAAATCCATTTTTTTTAAACAAAAGAAAAAAAAGGAATCTTGGATATGTACCACATTCACTTGTTCATCAAACAGAATTTGGGCCGTTGGTCACCATAAAATTCTTAAGGTTTGATGAGATGAAAAATCAAGAATTCAAATTTTATTTCCTACCAATTATTATAATACGTGATTTCCCTAAAAAAAAACTCATACGGCGGGCAACGACGAAGCGATTGCCATCCACTATGCCATCGGGTGCGTTTGGATCTCTGCCTCACTGGGAAAGATGTGCTTTCGGGAGGGATCTTGACTAGCTACTTCGTTTTCTGTCTTTGTTATTACTTATTACCAAATCCAATGGGCCAGTTCATGAAAGCCCCATGGCTTAGACAATGGGCTGCGCAGTTTTCTTGCTGGCTATTTTCACCCCAATAAGACAATCTATATAAACAAAGATTCACAAAGACAGACGAAGGCAAGATAACATAAAGCATTGATGGATCTCAAAGAAACTCGAAGCCTTGCGGGCTTTCTTTTTTTCTCTCATTTTCTTAAGCGAACTCAAGAATGTGTAAAGAAACATAATCCTCGTGCTGTCGTGCAACCTTCAAAAGCCGGTAACTTTTGAAGGCACCCGAGGGACTTATCTACCCATTCCTAAACCCCCCAGTACCGATGTGGGAAAGAAACCCCCACAGGAGCAAGCCCAGCAGGGCGGCCTCTACTAGGCCCTAACTAGGAACCCACCAACCCCGGTATGGCACCCCCATAATTGTTTTTTTCTCTCATTTTCTTAAGCGAACTCAAATCGCTCATTGTCCTTGCGGACTTTCTTAAACGACTTAGATAGTTTTTTATTCCACAAATCCCTCATACGGTCTCATTCATGCTGATATAGGAGACGGTGAAAAAATGATTAAAAAAAATTAAAAGGACAATAGATGAGAACTGGTAATTTCTCACAATAGTTAACTTTTTGCGCTAGAACAAGCGTTTCGCCTAACCTTAGAAAAATTGAAGTACTAGAACAAATTGGGAAAAAACTACGCCAATCTTTGAATTGATAAATATACCTTTAGTTTTTTGACGTGTGCATGGCACACGCATGACAATGGTCTAGTTAATGGTGAAATAAAACGAAATGGCCATAAATATCTTGATTTATCAGTTACGCGATCAAATCGAAACGAAAAATAATTGAATGGTCAAAAGTTGAATTGTTTAACGAGCGCAGAGGCTTTTTTGCCATCAAGAGAAAACGAGCTACTAATCCATGCCTAGGGCTTAATTATTACTGTAATTGCATTGGATTAAAGGTCAACATCAGATGAAAGACGACTGAAGGAGGCAAGGTTTTTGGATGTATCCAGAATTTGGAGTTTGCATTGCTCAGAATCACTCGAGGGGTGAGCGAGCATGAATGTCACAAGTGACACCCTCCCTCTGGGCGTGCGTCTTCTGTCCGCTGGGAATTTTCCTGCTGCATCCACCCATCCATCTGACCAACTTAATTCACAAGCAAAGCCTTACATATCGTACTACAACTACCAGAAGTAGGAGTACTACTCACTAGTAGTTATTGCCATTCCCCGGCCCCCAGCAGTCTAGATTGTGTGACGTCAACTTTTCTCTTGAATCTGCCATGCATACTGTTTTGCGTAATCGCCAGAAAACATGTGTCCACGTAAACCCCTCCCCTCTTTAATTACTAGCACTGCTTAACTTTCAGTTTGACTGGAGGTTCTTCTGAACTCCTCAGTTTCCTGCCAACCCTTGATTGCATAATCCCTAACCTGTAATTGCTAGTGGTTGGCTAGGCGGACCGGAAACACCTGGTTGCAGGGGATCGGAGGCGCTTGCGCGAACACCGTCGGTCTTTTAACCATGCTAGACACGCGGCAAATCACATGTAACGTTTCTCAGGTAAGGGGCGGACCGGAGCTGGTGTCCGTTGATTCACCCCGCGCCATTACATTTTGGTTTTCGTAGCCCACCGGGCATCAACTCCGGCCGAATTAAGGAACCAGTAATTCATCAACCAATGCCCTTTGCCAATGCCAGCTTGATCCAAGTTCATCTATCAAATTAAACAGTTGAAAATTGCTCTCCACATACGAAACCGCAAATTTAGCAAGCCTTCGATAGCATCGCATCGCATCGTTGGACAAAATATCTCATCTTTTGCTCGAGTTAACTCGCATCAATTTGAGTCATTTGACACTGCAGTATCACCAATTGTGACGCCAAGTTTACAGAATGCGTAGACTGTGGACTGTCCAAGCTCACATTACTATATGGGCAGGAGGAGCACCATGACGCAAGGATGTCCTTTCCATGGCACAATCGAGACAGCTACCTACATTCATTTAGCCTACGGTGGTATTATTACTCAGTATTTCAGTAGCTAGCAAATGCCCCATTCCTACCAGACTCTCGCACCAATGAATTCTGCTTCACTCAGGAACCAAGAATAAGAGACACACAACTGGCAGCAGCAGCGCCACATAAATAGTGGCCAGGATCATACTCGCAGTAGTAGTTTTTTGCCATTTGTAGTTAAAGTCGTAGTTACTATTTTTATATACATATTTTTCTGAGCTGTAATGTGACGTTCAGTCCCAGACTTCAGAAGGTCCCACCAGATTCTTCTCCATCTTTCTTTGACACCCTGTGCTAATTGACCTCACCTGACGGAAGAAACACTGACCCTTCCTACGTCAAACTAGTACTACCAACTAGCTGCTTAACGAAGTGGAGTATTATGATTTGCCCGTGCAGAGACTCCTCCCACCGGACATGTACGCATTGTGGTCGTGTTTTATGCAGATTCATCCAATTGTTGTACGTAAAATATTTTATTCCTATACATAATTTTTACTCTCAGCATAATACTATAACGTAATTGTACATTGAGGAGTACAACAAGAAAGTACAGCAGCCACACGGAACCCCAATTGCACTGAGTCATTTCGATCCCCTCCCACACGGTTCCAATTTGGACTCTCAAAAGTTCCATGATCAATTACATGCTCTGCTTGTCTGTTGTCTCTCTGGGCTTTGTTTTCCGGCCCTCTGAATTAGGCTATTCCGGTGCTGGCGGCCTTGCTGAAGCTGAATTTTGAAACCACTTGAACTCCGGTAGTTTGTGGACACATAGGCGTGCATGTCCAGCCAAATTAACTTGGAGGGGTTGACGTTCATTGTATTTCATTATTGTTGGGAACTAGCTAATTGAAGTGGTAAATAAATAGTGTGTGTGTGTTGCACACGGACATAGTAGATTTAAATTTGAACTATATCATTTTGCCTCTCAACAAGTTTTTATTAGTTAGCTAACAAGTTTTGTGAACCAAACATTGTGCATGCAATTTGTAAGCCATGCATATCATCGTAACAGATGGAGCATAAACTCAACTAGAGACGAGATTATGAAAGTTTTCTTCGATTGTACTTTACAAACTGGCAAGACTGGTCGAGTCTGCGATGATTTGTAGTGGGCTATTACCGAAAGCATAAAGGAAGGTAAGCATTTGCATCTCTATCCCGCTGGAATGGTTTGTAAATTTGACGTGGGCGTGGGCTTTGATGGGCTTCATTCAGCGGGTATCATCAGTTTTATGCTCTGAGAAAGGGGAAAATTAAGCAAGCTGCTATGCTGAAGGCTGCAACTCCACCACGTCCCCGCCGGCCCCCCACCAACCGTTGCCCCAATCGATTTTGAAGCCCCTGTCGAGAATCAACTAAGCAGTCGACAAACGTGAAGATGCAAATGATGGCAATCCTGTACTTGTTGGTAGGAGTAACAGTCTGAGCAGTGCGAATGGGGCCAAGAGCAGCCGTTTGCATGGTGGATATCCGCAGCACAGCTTTTCCTCAGCATCACCTCTGTTTAAAGTGAATGTGTGTGACGCAAAGTTAATCGCTCAATTTTGGTAAACACTTTGAAGCCAAACCCTGGAAAGACCACTAATTAATTGAGCCGACGCTAAAGAAATACAAAAATAGAGTTCCATACCTAAATGGGAAAAACATGAATTTAAAGAAAACAAAAGCAACAACGATAGAGGTACAGCTCGAACCCAGCAGAAAATACTACAGCACTATCTTTTTTAACAACCCATATACATTCTTAAACGCAAGATTGCAAAGTTTGTACATTGGGAAAGGTGCGTACAATCTTTTGACCACGGGCAAATTAATTACTGTACTATTTTAGTGAAAATCGCTGTGGCGACCAAGTGTACCGAGATTTATGGGTCATTACAGTAAGCACATTTACTGCTACTGCTACTACGATCCGACAGGATTAGCTAGGATGATGGAAAGTAGTAAATTAAGTACTAGACTAGTCGCTACGTAACAGTGCTTATAGTTCCCCAGATCGAGCATTCAGTGGTGCCCGGGTGGGATACCTTGAACGGGTTGTATTGAAGACTTGGGGGATTCAGAGTTCTTAGAATGGTCGGTGGCTGAAAATTATAGTAGTATTATCTTATCAGTCAACTAGTACCTGTGGTTGCAAATTAAAAAGAATGAACGAACATAATAACAAAAAGAGTAGTGAAAGCAAAACAAAAGAACGGAACAACAGTTGACATTTGTTTACTACTGCAATCATGGTTGAAAGTTGCGAGATCGCGGTCGTGGTTTCGACCATTTCACATCGATTTGGGCATATTGGTCGCGATTTCGACGAAACATAAATTTTTAAAATATTTAATATTTTAAAAAATTATAAAAATAAGATAAACAAAAATAATTTAAAAAATTAGCAAAAATAATAAAAATTCTAGTTGATTCAACCGTTTCTATTCGTCTCGAAAACATCTTCTCGAAGATCCATTATCTCGAAATGATCTTGTTTCGGTATTGAAACGAAAAGTCCCGTTGCGGCGACGACTTAGGCCGAATCTTTCAACCATTACTGCAGTTTAACACAATCAAATGTCTGGTTAGTTAGCAGTACATTACACATCCTTATGTAATATGTCTAGGAAAGGAGGAATAAAGACAACCCTCTAGACTAACGAGTAGAAGCTATTAATTAAACCATGCATTACCTAACAGCATTCAGACTTGAGTAATGTTAAAAAAAAAAAAAAAAACTTTTGAAATAAAGTATGAATGTCAAAAAAAAAAAAGAAAAAGAAAAGGTGGCTGCAGGGGGGAAAAAGGAAATGGTCAAAACAGAGCAAGGCAAGTTGACAAATGATCCAAGAAACATACGAGCCTGGGAATGAGTTCGAAGTTCCCCATGCAAATGTACAATAAAGAAGCCGAGGATTGAATTACCGGAACCAAGTGTCACATCTATCTGGGTCCAGACAGCCTTAGCCCCTTTATTTATGGGATGCTGCTGCCTCACTCCTCCTCCTGTTCCATCCCTGTCCTCCATTTACTATTTTTTTACTACTGCCATTTGGGAAACATTCACGCTAGCGTAGGGGATGGGTTTTGGTGCAACTCACCGTACATTTAACGATCCGGTATCGGGTAAAAGCCTAAAAGGATCCTGGCTTAATTTTGGCTGTTGATCTCAAAATTCAACTTGATATCTTGGACCGAGTTGGGATCGTCCATTGCAGAGTGTGACTGTTGTGTGCGCGCGCGCGCGAATCAATTCATTATAGAATCATTGTACTACAATTATCGGTGTACAACACGAAGCGTGCATTGTGTATTTTTTTTAAAGGGATAATTTGTTGTTTTGACCCAAAAAAAATATAGAGTATTCCTATATATAAATATATGTTCATTGGATCTTTTTTGATTAACTATTTTACTTATTTGTGAAATTTTTTTTTCTATAAGTAGGATTTAAATTACAAACCACACGTATAAAGAGATTATTTTAATTTTTAATACAATTTAAATTACATTATCTATTAAAACTTATTTCCTAAAAAATTTCTCGACTTCCTCGTAACTGTTCCACAAAAATTTTTAAGATATTAATTACCTACCAAAATCCTTCCAAGTGATTGACTTTGACTAGATTTTATTTATCCACGGCTTTTGTTTTCCCATCACCACCTCGATACAAAAGAAATATGGATTAGTATTGGCTAGCAATTTGATTTTTTATTTTTATCTACATTTTTTGGGTTAAAAATTATCTTTTTGTTTTGACTTTTTGGCTAAATAGTTATGAAGAGTGCGAGAGTAATGCTGTCAATTTGTGACCTTTAATGGGAACATTTGATCTTATCAAGCTGACGGGGGAAATAAGTAAGTGAAATTATACATCTATTATGATTTTGTACACATTTTTTTTCATATGATTTTGTACACATTACGCATTTAGAATTGCCCCGGGCAATCATAAGAGTCCGTTGGTCCCAATGCTGCCAAGCTCTTACCTTGTTGTGGATTTTCCTTGATCTCTTACATTTTTCTAAAGGAAGAAGATGACAGTGTACTGTCAGTGTGTAACATTCTGTAGCAGGCAGAGGCAGACTGGAAAAAAGAAGAGTCTGAGAGTCTGGGCAAAGAAAAATGAAAAACAGAGGCATAAAAAGAAGTGATTTCTGCAACGGGGCAAAGCTGCAGTGGCTCATTAAGTACTAAGAAACATGCTTCAAGAAAAATGAAAGTAGGAAAAGCGAACTACTCCAAACTTAGCAGAAGTAGTAGAAGGGTTCCCAGTCGGTGGCACATCTCCCTTTCCTCTTGTTGGTTTCCTACTTCACAGCTAGTACAATTTTTCGCTGTCTATTGCTTAGTCAGAGGCAGCGTAGTTGCATTTGCTATGATCATTCCCTTTTTTTTTTTTTTTGGGTAGGACCTTTAATAAGATTATGACTTGCATCTTTCTGGATTTGGGAGAAGCAGACCAATTTGAAAAAAGAAAGAGAATGCTAACGTCCCTTTGCTCATCCTACCCTGAAATTATGACTAAAAAAGGCATTTTGGCTGCAGAAACTTTTTTGAGATGAAAGATGAGCATGCGGCCCCTCATTTGCTAAACCACGGTGCAAAAATGGAAGAAAGTGCAGACTGAGAATGCAAAAGAATTCAAAGTAGTGGAGGGAGCAACGAAGAACTCAGAATCCGGAGCAGAGGGGCAAGCGTGTGAAAATGTGTAGTCGAGAGTCTATTGCAGTTACTTTGCACCCCACAAATTAGACCGGTGGCAGTCTTTATATAATTATAAAAGCCCGATGGCGATGATAACCTGACACCGTAATGCTCCTTATTTTTTGTTTTCTGCAGAATTCCAGCATTTCAACTAGTCAAAGGGGGAGAGAGAGATAAAACAGTGGCCATCGAATTCATTGTCCAAAATGCTTTACTTTTCAGTTAAACCAGAGCGAGCAAGCAAGCAACACATAATGCTTTGATTCACATCATCTTCTTCTTTGACTTTACGTTTTGTATCGTCTATAAAAAAAAAAAAAAAAAAAAATCTCTCTCTGGCGGTAGAAAATTGCAGCAAAATTTACAGATTATTGTTCCTCAGCTACTTTCTCAATCTAAAGAATTCCTAATATTCTACACTGGAAAAAATCACTACTATTAACTATCTAAAATCACCAGCCATATCACCGATGTTGCATCAGAGTCCTGCAAACCATTAAGCTAACGAAATCAGACATACAAAACCAAGTCTGACTTTTTCCGGTTGACAAATTTATTTTCAACCTTTATTGCAAGAGGTCTTTTTCTGTACATGTAAATAAAAAATCTCCGGGAAGATTGGACATCAGAAATATTGGGTTGAGTCAGACAAACCATGGTCATCACTAAATGAGAAGCAACCTGTTGGGAAATGAAAAGTCATGGAAAACATGCAAGTCTGCAAAACATCCCATCAAAAGAGCTGCAGGTAAAGACTAACGAAAATGTTTAAGGTAGAATTGCCGACGACAAACCTTCTTCTGGGATGTGGCACAGCCAGATTCGGTCTTCCAGTTCAGGCAATCTTATCCGCTGACCTGGTTCATGAAAGAGATCTTTTAAGGTTGAAATCTTCAAAGACTCTTTTAAGAATTTTTGTATGACTAAATATTTTTGTCGAAGCGAAAGTAAGTATTGGAAGTCTCGATCAGAAAGGCGTTGGCTGCTGTACTATCTCCTCAGGAGGAAAAGCAAACCAAATACACAACAAAGCAACCATCTCATTTAAGTCATTAACCTCAAATTGTTTGAAGAAATATCCGTTAGGTGGGGGTAGTGCGCTTACATACGTGAACGATATTGATCCAAATATAATCAACTGTGAAACAAGATACAAGAACAAAAACAGAAATGGAAATAACCTGTTATGATGGCAAACAGATTCAGATTAACCAATCTCATGATTTGGATTTCTGCTCGCGTTATGAGTGTCTGCAAAGTCCTTTTCATATTAATTTTGGTTTAACTTCCAAGAAAAAAAATGAAAGAATGTGCACTAAGACGGAAAATCATACCAATGCTGCCCTATTTTAGAAGCTATTTGCAGAGCAATAGCTTCATCTGGTTTAGATGGTCAATTTCTCTCAAATCAGTTGGTGAGAATGAGTCCCTAAACAGCCAGAAAATGTTCAAGTGAAAGGAAAAACCAAAGATGAGAAATTAGCTTTATGAAAATGAAAGTAAAGAGCATACTTCACTGAGAATTCATGCTGGAGAAAAAATCTAGTTGACTGTATCCATGGTAGCATGGCAATAGCTCTTCAACCTCAACTCGTGAACTGGAGCAACCCATGCTTTTCTTGATTCGGCTACGATTAATGGACTCAACCTCTGCTAAAAAAATACTGTACACTGGTCTGTGATCAGAGAACCTTGACTCACCACGAACATAAGATAATTGTTGGATGCCTCGGCCATACCACAGTATACGGTCACACCTTCATCAATTATTACAATAGCTTTGTGATTCCATGTAGATGGAGCAAAGAAGAGAATGAAATTATGAAGGAATATTCTTTTACCTTATTCCTTTATCGAGGCAGTGAGTGGTGTGGGATATGTATGAGCAAATATACATGGATTCATAATTAGAACTTGGAATATAATTACTTCAAACTATGAGGTTCCCTCACATAATATAACCATCGAATATTCTGAAGAAAGAAGTATTACCAGGCAGGTGTTCTCCGTTTCTCTTTTGGGTGCATATCATCGCCAGCGTATCTGTCTGAATTATTTGAATACTTGTACGTGGGGGGAAAATATATTTTTCCTTCATCCCATCCATCAAAGACACGACCTTGCCTCTGTTCTATCCTCAACTGGAAACAAGTTAAACGTCTTTTTAGAGCAAGCAATGTACAAAGAAAAGCGCATTCAAGTCATTCCTTGTTGCATTTACTTGCCTGATCATTTTCTAACAACACTCTCCAGTTCTGCATCTCCACCAGTGCCTTGGCAGTTCGATAGGATAACGCAATCCGATAATTCAAGTCCCCAAGCCATATAATTCGACTAAAGAAGCAGAAATAAATCTTAAAATTTTAGAAACTGTACTGTTAGAGATTAATAACAATGAATTACTGACGAAATTTGAGACAAAATAAAACTGAACAGGGTAATAGGACTGATAGAGTCATACTCATGCTCGAGAACAGTTTGAGGAGAGTTTTCATCTCCCATGCCACAAACTCTTGGAAACCTTGTTTTCCTCAAAATTTCCATGACATCAGCATTCCTTCGCAGCTCATCACCCTCCTTCTGCCCAGAGGTCAAGTGACTACAAATGAAGCAGAAACTTGTTTGGTGCAAAGACATGCTAATCGAAATTGAACCCTGGAAAAGCCCAAAGAGTGAGATTACTACTTTGGGTCACAACTTCACAACTTTGATCTCAATTTAACAAGATTCTGTGAAGAACATACGCACCTTGTTTCCCAGATAACCCATCAATCCTCTGCCCACGCAAGACGCTTTCATGTTGCGGACATCATCTCTTAGATCACTCTTTATCCATACAGTGAGAAAAATCCCAACCATCTGCTTACTTGCCACCAAACAGTACCTTGATTGCCCAGGTTGTCTCTCTCTTTCTTCCATTGAGACAGAACCATTGTATGAAACTGGTGAGTAGTGTGCCGAACAAGGTGACTCACCTTCTTCATTTTCATCATCAGATGACCCTCCCCATCTGACATTCGGATCAAACTCATATTGTCGGTTCCCAAACATAACCCTGTCACAGACACTGAATCGACGATCAAGTCGAGGCTGCGGCATTGACATATCATTTTCTGTCATTCTCATGCTACGGCTAAGTGACTGGAAGGAGTGGCGATTGAAAAAAGAAGAGGCCTTTTGTCTAGTTGACCCTTCAAAGTCAGCATCCAGTTCCACAATAGGATCAGGGACTGGGGAAGGCGTGTAGTAGCCACCACTTGTGCCCGGAAGACTATTCAGAGTTTTCCTAATGAGTGCTAACCATTTTTTAGCTGGCCCGTTGTCTTCTGTGCCCAAGACATTACCAGCGTTTAAAGGAACAATTTCTTGAAACCTAAATGTACAAGGGATTAGACAGGAGTAATCATGAAACTTCATTACTTAATTTTGGATGTCATTAAAGATAATCAAGGGCTATCTGTTTGCTGATCAAACTCACCCGAGAACATAGATGTCAGCAGGAGGTGATGTGTGCAGCCAGTCTTCTAGATTCAAATGACTAGGTGGAGATTTTCCAGCCACATTCCATGTAGCTACAAATATCCTGATCCAAAAATGAATACAACCAATTAAAGCCAGCTCTCAATTGAGAAAATCCTAAAACTAAGAGTTGATCCTAAAAGATGGGCACACCTATAATTTTGCACATCTGTGACCTGGGAAGCATCGAGGTCAATCTTTCCACGGCCGATACGGTCGGAGCTCCTTTTACTTGATTTTTCTGTCAATTTTATTTAAAGTGACATGACACAAGAATCATGATTTGCAAAATAAGAGAAAATGAAGATTCAAATTTAGTTTTCTTGATATGCATAAATTAGTGCGTTAAAAGAATGTTGTGGTCCAAAAGATTCACTGCTCGTCTTATACTGCACCTGTTTTGCTTTTCTTGATGGTGCAAGTATTTCTCTCTGAGATATTGCTCCTCCATTCTTCATCAACACCTGAAAAAGCAAAAACATAAAGTTGTTAAAGCCGTGTCATTTCACAGTTACTCCATCTAACCAGTAGAGTCCAAACCTGAAAACAATAACAATCATTAGTTTGGAGCCATAAAAAAAAGCAAAAATATCATTGTCAGAAAGAAGCAAAAAGCAAAGAACAGATCTCAAGCTGCCCCCAAGAATTTCCAGCTTCATTTGATATACAAATGAATTTGCATAAAGAACAGACATTGAACAGAATATGCTAAATGATTTCAAGGACGACTGCCAAGTTAGCAAGAAAAATAAATCCAACGCTAAAATCAACATCCAGAACCAACTAAATGAAGCAGAATTTGAAAATAATAATAATAATAATCACCTCCATAAACGACGTCGTCTGCATGAAAATCATCAGCTTTGCTCTTGATATTGAACCATTTTTTGACCAGTGTCTTGGGCCATGAAAGCTTCATCAACATAAGAACCCCAACAAATCAGCAATCTTGGAAACATCAGTGCAGAGCTGAAACACTAAACCAAATCAAGTACTTTAAGTGATCCGCATGTATTATTCAACAAACCTTGCTTTTCTTCGAGTTCCCATCTCTCATTGTTTCAACTTCATATGGAAATTATACACAAATGATCTAGAGTGATACAAAAATTCAAACTTTCTGGTCCAGTGTCTGAAACGTCTTGGAAGTTCTTCCACAGAATGCAATATCAATGAAGAAAAACAAATGGGTTCACCAACTTGTTGATGAAGAAGACGGGGAATTCCCTATCAAGTACTGAATACAAGCTCAGAGGTCGGAACCAATGGAACCAAGAATCAAGAAATGAAGTAAAGAAGCTGCCTAGTGCCTATCCTATGGTCTTAATACACAAAGAGTACGAAGCTTGGAGCAGAGCAAGACTGAATTCTGGGAAATAAGAGGAACTAACTGGAGGAAAGAAACAAGAAAATCCCATCTAATTGGCATTTCAGTTTCTGGATTTGTGTTTTTTTCCCCCCTCCCCAAACACCAGTCCAATCAAAGATATCCAGTTGCCAGTTGGGTTTAATTTTGTCTTTGTTTCTATTCTGTAGCAAGGAGTCGAGAGAACAGAAAACAGGGGGAAAAGGGTAGGAAAGAAAGATGTTCAAAGAGAGGGACAACACTTAAAGATGCGTGGAAGGAAGACTATTAGATTCTGTCAAACTAGAAGAAGACAATGCAGCAAAGTGATAACTGATAAGAGAGAGAGAGAGAAGAGAACGTAAATAGAGGGAAATTGGCTTTGTTCGTCTGAATGGGGGAGGTTTGCGATGGTTCAACCCATGTACTAAAAAGGATCAATAAAACCTCGTTCGGGAAGACAGCAAAGTATCGAATTTTGAAGAGAATAAAGTGCAGCATTGAGTTGGGAGCAAACTCTCTCTTCTCTCTCTTTCTCTCGAGGCTTTTTGCCTCAAATCCAAGGCCCCTTCTGACCCAGATTGCTAGTGCCAGAGCCAAATAGTCCTAGGAAATAGGCAATGAAATTAAGCCCAAAAAAAAAAAAGGCATATATGGATTCTTCAGTCACCCAAGCTGCCCGGGCCTTTTCTCTCATGAATTTCTGCCCGCGGTCAGCAAAGTGAAGTGGGATCTAAAATCCAAGCAGTGGCCATCATCATTTTCATTTTAGTCTTCCAAAAGCAGCTCAGAAGAACCGGGGGACAAAGAAAAAGGAAAAAAAAGGGGGACAAGGGGAATGCAAACGGAGTCGTTCGTTCCCCTTTTGAGATCTACGTCTACGTACCCGCTGTAAGATTACTAGTCGATCCTTTCATATCTATGGAAATAGAATTCAAGAACTAAAACTCAGACAAAATTTCTATTTTCGGTTCCTTGGTAAAGGCCAAGAACACATGTGCATGAACAGATCAGTGCTATTTTTTTCTTAGCAGTTGGCTAGTAGAATGTAATACTACTAATAAAGAGTAGTATTTGTGAGGAAAAAAAAAAGAGTAGTATTTCTCCAAGCTGCGTTATTGGGTTTTGAGAAACCCCTTGCCTTATAGATTTTGGTGCAAGGAATTTTTGTGTGGGGAATGGCTGTGTCTCCAATGTAGATTTTGGGTTTGGGAAATTTGATCGAAGTTCATACGGACTGAAACTTTAAACTTTGAACTTCGCTGTCACACGTAATTCTGTAATTTTTTTTTTCCCTAGGCCGTGCCTCCTGGTGTAAACTACGCTCTATTATACGTACAAAGAGAACAAAATGTTTGTTTGTTTGGGAACTCAAAGCCAAAGGCTCTCTGTGTCTCTTATTTTTGTATTTTCTTGGCTCTACCCACGCATCTGTCCAACGGATCCAAAGCAGTAATCCCCGTTTGATGAATCCTTGCTGATCGGAAGGCGAACCACATTGCCACATATCTTGAGCTTAGGCCTGGATTAATGTGAAAAATTTTGTGCTTGGAGGATGCTCCCCTCTTCTTCAAAAAACACACAATCACATAGACGTGGGATCTTGTTAAGCCAATCAAGGTTCTGAAATCGACCCACCACCCACGCCATCTCCTAGGGCTTCGGCCAACTCTCTGGGATGGGAATATATAAATATATATGTATGTATATATATATATATATAAGCCCTCTAGCCAGAACAAAAAAGTAATTTCTTGGATTAAGCTCTCCTGGCTTGAAACTCTTGATTGACTCATCTTAATACACATGCTGCATGTGGGAGACCGTGTCTTTCTTGTTCCCAAGCTTGGTCTTAATTTTCATATTCCAAGGTTCTTCTAAATTAAGTGCTAAGACTAGTTCAAGGATTAAACTAATGATACAGACACCGACGACGACGGTGAAACTCCCTGCGTGCCCTAATCCTGAATTTTCCAAATGACAATCTCCAGCAAACTTCAAAACACAATCCTCTCTAGTAGTTAAACTTCCATCTGCATATAAATTATAATTAGAGGCAGCTGTTTGGCCCCAGCAATAGGCTGTCAAGATTTGTCAACCTCAGCGCTAGTCGTCCAGGGCAAAACCCCGGCCAGCTCTACCATATATCCTGGAAAGGGAGTAGAAAGAGACTGGGGCACTTTGTGGCCTTCCATTTTCTTGAATCGCAATTGATTCTAAGCTTTGATTACCATGATTGGTAGACGACGTGCTTCTCTTTCCGGCATGAACCCATTAGTTTTATAGTTTAGGCGTTGCTTTTCCCTTTTAATTTATCTACTGTAGGTTGTCCTTGCTACAACTTTGTTTATCGCCGCCAATCACATCATATGATTGCAAAACATAATAGGCAATCCAAATCATCAGGCTGTATAAAGAGCGGCCCCTGTTTTGAGTTTCCTATCATCCAGTGTTCGAGCTTTCAATGTCCAAGAGAAATCCCCCCCTTCTTCAATTACACAAAAATTATGCAAGAGAAAAGCAAAACAAAGATCGAATGAGAAGTGAAGCGTCTAACCCTTTCTATAGGGTGGTTTGCCATACCAGCATTGAACCGCAAATCAGGCTATTTCTTGTCTTCTAATTAAGATTGTGAAATAACAAAAGAGAGAGTATAAAAGTATGAATAGTGAAAAGTAATTCTATCCAATGACTTGGTCCAGTTGTCCAGATGAGTGGACTAGAGCTAAGATCTTGTCATTGTCTCTCCTATTCTCCATTTTTCAACCCAAACTCCACCACCTTGTTGCCTTGAAATCCTGAGGCTTGTGAGTTGTGACCTTGTGCAGTTGCGTTAATTAATCTACTAACCCAGTTATCATAAAAATGTAACTTTATCTACGTACTTAGAATCATCCCGGCATCACTACCAGTGCACATACGAATATAATACTATGACAAAATTGGTCTAACATGACGGCTATGTTTTCTGTCCGACAGTTATGGTACATATTTCCCTGTTCTATCCATGGAAACATAATCAGACTTGAGATAAACGCTAAATAGTAGCCTGCTCTGAACCACCTACAGACGCTTAAGCTACTGGCACCAATTAATCTTAACTCTTGTTTCAGATGGAGTGCTTGTTTGGTACCAGATGAGTCCAGCAGCTCCATAAAACTGGTTTGGAAGAAAACTCCCAACATGACTGTCTATTCTCCTGCTGGTTCAGTATGGTCATTAGGCATCACTAGAGCAATGATTTGGTGAATCAAGTAAACAATTACTTTTGTCTTGCTAATCTACATATTGAACTCAAACGTTTACTCCACAACTTCAAGAATCCAAGGCCTTCAATTTTCTGATCAGTCCATTCTGGAAACCAATCAGGGTAATCTAAAAAGTTTTGGAAATCCACATTCACTTGGTGGTCCAAATCCACATGTCTCCGCCTCTACCTCTCAACTCCGCAAATTCTTGCACATGATGCTGAACAGTCACTATCCAAAATACGGGCTAACAGCATGACCAGACTTCTACAGCCAAAAAAAAAAGAGATCAAAATCCATCCTATCACAGCGGTTTAGACAAGTACAAGTAAAAGAAGATGCTCCGAGCAGGGTACAAACTCAACCATACAATAATGACCTACAAGATCAGAGAGCACGGCAAAGGAATTACCAGAAAATCATAAAAGGGAACAATGTTATGAAAATGACAACATGAAAAAGACATACAAATTAAGGATTGAGTTTGATGTCTAGCAATTTATCCCCGCAATGAGATAAAACTGCGAAGATCCAATAAAGCAAAAGCACATAAGAAGGGAACTTAATCACCCTGCCCTCTTTAATTGGCCAAGTGCTAGAAAATCCAATAATAGAGGAGATGCAAACAATATTTCCACCAAAATAACAAATTTAACCTACCCAAATGGTGTCCGACTCATAATCCATTTGTCTCCCCTGAATTAAATACATCTGCATAGCAGAGTTAATAAAAGTAAATAAGTTGCAATATTAGTCGTAGCACTGGCGCGCCAACCTCATACAATCTAGCCAATGCAGAATCTGCATGTTGGGGTCCCTCTCCACGACAACATCAGACACTGAAATCTGAAGAGCGCCTCTGTAATCTGTGATCCTGCCGCGGACTCGAGCTAGAACGCCGAGTTGGAGATCAGAGGCAAAATCAGTGGCCGCTTGGGCAATTAGTCGAACATCCGATGGGTTGCGGCGAGAGAAGTAAGAGGAGTTGAGCTGATTGAGCCACAGAACACAGGAGATGCAGCCGGAGCCATCGTCAATCGTGAATTTGACGAACTTTCCCGGCTTGAGATCTCGGGTTACCACGATTCCTACAGTCTCCGCGCGCGAGAGGCGCTTGCCTCTGCGGAAGAAGGAAGAGGGGTCTGTCGGTGACGGCGTCAGTTTCAGGAAGTCGAAGGCCAAGAGCTTAACGTGAGTATTGTACAAGGCGTCCATAAGGGAAACGGAAGGTTGGTCTCTTTACCGCCAAAGGATGCTTGGCTTTGGCGGGAAGATTATATATTATATTTTAGTACTACTCGTACTCGTACTAGGTCTAATAATCTGGCGGTTCCAATTTAATGAGGATTTGGGCTCTCGACGCGGTTTCTTGTTCCCAACATTCCATTGAGTAAAGCCCTGCCGCCACACTTTCATCCATTTCGTTTTCACAATCCTTCCTACTGTGAAAGAATATACTAATCCATACAGAGTACTATAGAGTACAAAGTACTACAACTAATATGATGGACTCTTCTTTTACGTAGTTGTAATTTTCGTTTGTGTGAATCCTCAGCCTAAGCAAAGTCATGGCGCGTTAGCCAGGTACATGCACAATTTCCAATGATCAAGCTCGCTCAATAATAGGGGAGCAGCGATGATTCTTGAGTTTTTCTGATTGATAGGAAGAGTCCTTTTAATCAAATTATACTGACGTCGCATTTATACTGGCCATCCAGGAAATGACATATGCTACAAATGAGCAGAAACTAGGCCGTGGATCCATTCATTTCTGACAGCATGATATGATGAGAAGAATTATTATTAGTGCATTACATTCCTCAATTGGAAACGAAAGTCTCGAAGGCATGGGGTTGAAGACGCGAAATAAAGCTAAGTCACGTTATTGTGTTTGGGTTCAAAAAAAAACAAGAGGACCATTTATATATGAAGCAAAATACTAGTGACATTAGTCTTTGTTGTTGCAAAACAAGAGGAATGTAAGCTTGTGATGAATAATAAGAAATTTGCTTCGAGCCGTGAATTAGATTCACTTTCCTTTAGGTTAAATTCATCTTTTATTCTGTGCAATACCATAGACAAATTAATTCCCATTCTGATAAATTGAAGTATGCCTTGATAACACTTTGCATTAACGTTCGAGACCTTATAAAAGAAGTGCTTGGTGTAGTTTCTCAACATATCTATCTAGTATTGATCGGACATATATTTTTTACAGCAAATGAGCCCTCAACTGATTCTTTATAGACTTGGGAAGTCACAGGAAGATTACAACCATACAAGTCAATGCCTTCTCACTACTAGCAGCAGTCATTAACCTCGTGAAAGTGCTGGTATGATTGCAGCATTTGGAGGCCGAACCCTGATTTACATAGTTCTGCTATGGGTGACATTTCATCTATGGATCGGAGAAGCCGGAATTATTGGAAATGTGCTATCAGCTATGAGCCACTTTTGGCGGGAAAGCAATTTCTGTGCGATTTTCGGACAGAGCATTCGCCTCAATTTCCAGATTGGAATGCATCTCTTGCGGACCCGACAGATGCAGTAGCATTCTTTTTGTTTGTACCCAATATGAGACAAACTGTCACGAATATTGGGCCCAAAACTACACAAGAATGCAACAGCCAAGGCCCAAGCCCATTGAATGCTGGTCTCTTCAGAGTCCAGTGAAGAAGCGTTTTGCGTGGGAGTAGAAATCATCTGGGTCGGGTTTGGGTAGATCAATGACGATTCCCCCCCGACGTCGTTTTTCTGGAACTGATACGTACAAGCCCTAACTTCAAAGTTGAGATATCTTTTTGATTGTGGAGTTTCTTCCTACCTCCCTTTGATTCAATTGATAGCAATCCCCTAATTCTCCATCCAGAAGGTCAGTTAGTTTCTTCTCATGTCAAAGGCGTAATCAAATATTGCCCACAACCTTTTCTGTTTCAGTTTTTATATTTTTTTTCCTTGGAATTAAAATATGCCCGTGTTTGGTGTGCAACAGGGAAGAATTGCAGCAAATATGAAGAGGGCAGCGCCCTGGAGCGATGGGGAGGAGGAAGACGATGACCGTTCATCCTCCGATACTGATTCTTCAACCCTCGACACCGACACTGAAGATGAAAAAGATTCTACTGAGAAAACCGCTACTAAATCCAAAGCTTCCTCCAAACTCAAAGCCTCTCAAGGTCAGCTTAGCCGCTTTCTTCTTGTATTCATAACTAGCTGTTAAAGCTTGTTGAGTGGACATTTAAACAAAATCCTGACTTGGCTAACTCTACAGTTGAGTCGGCTAATAAGAAGCAGAAGCGCAAAAAAGGCATAGATTTGGAGGCACTGAGAAGGCATGGGTATAAAGGCGGACTATCAGTCATGGGGGTGCCTCCACCGAGGGAGGCCGTTGATGAGAAGCAGGATTGGTCCTGGTCGAAGGGCCTGGAAACTCGGGCTAAGGAGACTGAAGAAACTTTTACGGATAGGCAGATTACTAGAGCTGCCATCCTCCAAGGAGAGCAACTGTTGCCCAATGCTGCCTCATCTGCTAGAGACAAGAGGGAGCTGTCATTCTCACAGAAGGAGAAGAGGAAAAGAGACCTTGGTCAGGCCAGTAGGGGCAAGAATTATGTTGAAGAAGAGAAGAGGCTTTTGAGGGAGAGTGGGATTTACTCTGGCTTTGATTCTTGATTTGGAATATAGACACTGTCAATCTCTTATGGTGGTCATTTTTCTGCAGTCTGCACATGTAAGAACAACTTTTAGTTGTATCATTTCTGCAGTGGATCTCCCTGCCATGGCCATAGCATTTTAATGCTGTATTGCTCTCTCCACTCTCCAGCCAAATTCCTAACGGTTCCCCAACCTTTCTCCAATTGTGTACCTTCGTTATGTTGCTTGAATATTCCTCCATTGATCACATGGGATAAGATCTGGACTTTGTAAGATGATATGTAATCCCTCTTTTTGGTCGATTATGATGGTTATGCTACAATTTTGTTTCTCATCTTCATGAAGCCATCACTGTTGTTAATTGATTGATAGACGAGGCAATCTCATTGGGACTTTTGTTACTTGCAAAAATCGCAAGGCTAGTCTTTGCAGAAACTTCCATCAGCAGGCCGAAACTTCATGCTTCTTCTTAAGCAGCATTCTTTCAGAGATGTACCATGCAATTTCATTAGAAGCTCTCTCAATCAATTCTATTTCTGTATCCTTGATACCCATCAATGAAAATTCAGAGTTTTTTTTTTCCTTTAATATAAAGAGGCCATAGTATCTGCTATGACCTGTATCAGTAACCTAAAGAATAAGAGAGAGGGAGAGAATTCAGAGGTTCGGCTTAGTAAATGCAACATGGAATGCCAAAAGATTTCACAAAAACAGCTATATATAAATTTCCTGAACAACAGCTTAATGCTCAAGTGGCTGCCTTGACACAAGCAGCTGTGAAGAGCCAATCCGCGGGGTAGCCCGACCCCTTGATTCTTTAGCCTCAATTATGAGTATAACGTCAAACTACCCCTCTACCCATTTCAATTGGTGTCAAAATTTTCCAGCATCAGCCCATTCTATTAATTAATCTCCTAATGTGTGGGATATCTGAGTGTTCTATAAATTGCATTAATGGTGCTGGGCGTAGTTCTGCAGCAACCTCCAACAAGGGACGCCCCTACTTCACACCATTTATTCACATAGGATACGAAGTCTTCATCTGAAACCCCAGTGTTTTGCTGCAAGGGGAAAACAGCAGTCAGCAAGGACATACACTGTAAGCAAGTCGTACAAAGATGTCAAACAAGCAATGATATAGTATTTGACAAATGCAGAATAGTCAAAAAGAGGATCAGCTAAGTAACTATCGCAGTTTCTACACCAAATGATCCATTAAGCATGATTGTGTACCACTATGTCACAACATGGTTTGTGCATGAGTTAATACTTTCTCTACCAAAGTATGAAGACGTTCCCAACTAACAAACGCAATCACAAACAACATAAAAAGACAAATTTATTAGCCATGAAAATGAACCAAATATCAAGGAAAACTGACCACCCACTCCTTTCGATCAGCATCATAACTTTCACCACTATTTGGATATATAAGTATCGGTTTGGCTGTCACCTGAAGCAATCACAATTCCAAGATAAGAACTAAGCTCCAGAAATAATACCAAACAACAGTAACTAAAATTAAATATTAAAAAAAAAAAATTCAGTACCAATACAACAAGTTAGCATTTTATGGACAAAAGGGCTAAAGTCATAGCTTAACTAAGGTCAAAATCTCTGAATTGCTTAATCCCAAAAGAAAATTAGTAAACAGGAATTCTTTTTTAAAATTCTCAGAAGAGCATGGGCCATGGCTGAGAAGTTAGCTACTAAATAAAAAAAGTATACATCAGAACTTCCTTGTTCCTCTACCACCAATAACTGATTGTCAACTACAAATAAAACTGAGCAGAAATAGCTCATCATGGATGGAACTTTCTTCTTGAGAAAATCCTCTGGCCTTGAACCCTTGGATGGTAGCCTGTTCAAATTGATTTCTCCCTGAGGTTCAACTTCTTATTCACATATTACGATAGAGATAGACAGATGGCTTGACAACTAGGGGAAGGATTTACCTGGTAAGATGCTGTAATTATTACGTCGGCACCAGCTTCTAGGTAATCAAGGTGGACCTGCTCAATAAATTTCTACTTGGTCATGCATAGACAACGATACATACCAGCAACAATAAGCGAGCAACATTGTGCTCATATGTAGATAGAAAGTAATTAATTAGTAGTCAACAATCTCAACAATAATCACATGCTGCTTGTAGAACTGCAGACATCTTATCCACCAAATGAAATCCATGATGCTTGGGAGCGAAGAGAAAAGTAAAATACACATCGGCCCAATGTTTGCTCAAACTTCTGATCAAAACCACACCAGAAAGCTTGGAAGTTGGAACAGATTAAGCGTAACCTTAGAAATTGAAAGTTTCAACTATCAATTGGCCCACAAGTCTGATCAAATTGACACGAGACAGCTGACAGTGCAATTCCACATTTTATCCAAGTACATCTTAACTATGCAAATTCTCGCACCCTAATTCTCTCCCAAACATGTCTACATCCTAACTATCCGCACGCAAACTGACAGCATTTCCAGACTGCTGGCCTCCATCACACGGTTCAATTTAAAATGAAGAATCCAACCGCAGAAATTACAAAACCTCAAGCTATACGGGAAAAATATGAAGGATTCCCGAACTAAAATAATTATATGAAAATATGAAGCAAATCATCAGTCACGTGAGCGTATTTTACCGAGCGAATGAGGTGAGGGGAACTGTGGAGACATTTGGCGCTCCAGAGAGGATCGTTAAGGTCAGCGCCGTGTCGTTCGAGTTCCGTCGCCAAGCCGCCGTCAATCACCGCTACGCCGCCGGATTTACTCAGGAAATCTGAAATCAACGATGACGACGATGACCCGGGATTATCAGCAGCGTCGTCGACAGGTCCCATTCCGTACAAACGGAACCAAGAGGTGCAGAGGTTTTTGTTCGGTTCCAAGTTCCACTATCAGAGGAACAGTGGATGGGCTTACTTAAAGTAGTAGGCGGAGGACTCCGACTACCCAGCTCCAATCTATAGATTTTGGGACTGAACCAGGTAGCTTGATTTAACTCGATTACATTTAATTAATCTTGAGTTCGAGCGCAGGGCAAGCTAAAGTCAAGTCCGAACTTGAGCTCAACTTCTAAAAGCTCGACGAGTTTAAACTCAAACTCAATTATTTTATCTTGAGTTGAGCTCGACTCAAATGCACCCACCCTTAGCACAGGATTTTCATTCTACCCTCTCAACCTCAATACGACACACCAGGGTCTATTCATTTTTGTCAACATGCTCAGCCTACTTTATAATTTTGTTTCGATAGAAATTATTTATCAAAATTTATTTACTGGTGAAGAAGCACGGAACTTCCCCTGACCGAGCTGACCTGATAAGCTCGGAGTGCTGATGGAAGAGCTCGTCCCAAGCCTGCAAAACAGAAAGAAGTGATCTCACAAAGGAGGCCCCGAGGTGGTTCCCGAGGGCACTCCGACGGTCAAGTTAATTTTCCGTCGAGCAGTGTTCACGGGAAGTAACGTAGTCAGAGTGTATTGAGCATCAGGAGTGAGCGTACCTTAGACAATGGATGTGTAGCACTATTTATACCTGGGCCAGAGTCCGACCTCCGTACGTTCCGGGACCTTCCTGATATAATCTCAATCCCGCGCCGAGCGGGATCTCCTCCGACCTCTGCGGGACGGTCTCCTGATCCCCCTGGAGCCCTAGCAGGGGTGCGGCCCAAGGCGGTCGCCAGGAGCCTGGGGCCGGAGCCCAGTTCGACTATACCTGAGCTGCCACGTGTCTAGGTCCAATACGGGACCTCTGCACTAGCCCCCTAGATTAGGTAAGGCTTCCAGGCAGATCTAATCTATACTCTGCCACGTAGGAGACCAGCGTCGCGCACTGCTCTGCCCCGGTCACCTCTGGTACAGTGCTGTCACTGAGAAAACCGTGCCGATCTCTTGGGTCGAGCGTCAAACTCCCAAGTTTCGACAAACTTGATCAATGCGTGCCGACCTCATGGGACCGAGCATCAAATTGTCACTGACATGGTTTAAGCCCCCGATTTTTAAAGATTTGAGCCTTGCCGACCTCCTGGGTCAAACAAACTCATTCAAGTTAAGGCACAACGTGCCGACCTCTTGGGGCCGAACATCGCACTTTCCGACTTCAAAATTTCAAGCCGTGCCGACCTCTCGTGGCCGAATATCATACTTTGAAGGCAGTCACGCCGACCTCCCGGGTCGAGCGTCGAACTCTGATTTTAGCGAATATGCTAACCTCTTGGGGTCGAGCATCACATTTCCAGGGCAGTTATGCCGACCTCTTGGGTCGAGCGTTGAACTCCCTGATTTTAGCAGACGTGCCGACCTCTTGGGGTCGAGCATCACATTTTCCAGGCAGTCATGCCGACCTCCTGGGTCGAACATTACATTCTCAGGGCAATCGTGCCGACCTCCTGGGCCGAGCCAGCGTGCTCCCTGGTTTTGACAAACTGCCTCAAAGTAAGTCACGGCGTGCCGACCTCTTGGGGTCGAGCATCACACCTTCAAGACGGTCATGCCGATCTCTTGGGTTGAGCGTCAAGCCCCCCGTCTTTAACAGGCGTGGCGACCTCTTGGGGTCGAGTATCGCACTCTCAAATTTCGCAATTTCAAGCCGTTTGCGGACCTCATGGGGGGTTTTTCCGTCCTCTCCGCTCTCCGAGACCCCGATCTGACTTTTTCTTCAGGCGAGCTGCCTCCTCTGCGTTGACAGTCGCGTGCGCCCTTGTCAGGAGCTGCTCCAAATTTTTGGGAGGCTGCTCGGCCAAATCATAGAAGAGCTCCTCTATCCTGAACCCGTTCGTGAAGGCGGCCATTACCACTTTTTCGTCTTTGTCCCTGACCTGCAAGCTCTCCGCGTTGAAACGGGTCATGAAATTCCTCAGCGACACGTCGGGCCTTTGCTTGATGGACATCAGGTGGGTCGCGTTCTTCGCGTAGGTCTTCGAGGAGACGAATTGGGCTGCGAACTGCCGAGCCAACTCGGGAAAATTCCGTATAGACCCCCGCGCCAATCCTTGGAACCAGAGCTGTGCTTTCCCCTTCAGGAACATAGGGAAAGTTTTGCAGCGAATTTCGTCCGCGGCGGTTTGCAGAAGCATGTGCGTCAGGAAGACCGAGAGATGGTCTTCCGGGTCTGTAAAGGCATCGTACATCTCGATGCTCGGAATCTTGAACATCCGGAGTAGTGGGTAGTCCTCTATCTCTCGGGTAAAGGGCGAAATAGCGTAGTCGTCCTCGTACAAACGCGGCCGCAGGATCTGTTCAAGCTCGTCTTGAACGGGTTTCCGCTGAGGGGGGTCCCGTGGTCGGCTCTTGACAGACCGGGCGGAAGAGCGGTCAAGCCCATTCCGCACAGGCTTCCTCGGAGAGGGGTCCCTCAACCGGCTCCCCGCGGACCTGTCACGGGAGTACCTTTCACTGTCCCCGACCACCGAGGGTCGCGGACGAGGTGGAGTCCGCGACCGTTTCCTCCTGGGGGGCTGATCCCGTGACTCATCCTCCGAAGGGTCAGGGGACAACTCCTTCTCTTTCCCCTTAGCCTTGGAAGTTTGCGCGCTTCCAGCCCCCTCTTTCTCCTTCGCTTGCCGGATTAGGTCCTCTAGCATCGAGAGGTTCTCCGTCACGAACTGGAGGATCTGCTGTCTTCGCTCCCCTGAGAGGGCCGAGCTCCTCGAGCCCCCGGCCGCCTCGGTCTCCGCTCGCCGGGATCCCTCCCTGGCTCTCGGGCCGGTGCTCTCAACGGTTCGCTTGGATCGTGTTCTTGCCATCAACACAACAATAATTACCTTGCGTTTCCCACAGACGGCGCCAACTGAAGAAGCACGGAACTTCCCCTGACCGAGCTGACCTGATAAGCTCGAAGTGCTGGTGGAAGAGCTCGTCCCAAGCCTGCAAAACAGAAAGAAGTGATCTCACAAAGGAGGCCCCGAGGGCACTCCGACGGTCAAATTAGTTTTCCGGCGAGCAGTGTTCACGGGAAGTAACGTAGTCAGAGTGTATTGAGCATCAGGAGTGAGCGTACCTTGGGCAATGGGTGTGTAGCACTATTTATACCTGGGTCAGAGTCCGACCTCCGTACGTTCCGGGACCTTCCTGATATAATCTCAATCCCGCGCCGAGCGGGATCTCCTCCGACCTCTGCGGGACGGTCTCCTGATCCCCTTGGAGCCCTAGCGGGGGTGCGGCCCAGGACGGTCACCAGGAACCTAGGGCCGGAGCCCAACTCGGCTATACCTGGGCTGCCACGTGTCTAGACCTAGTACGGGGCCTCTGCAACTGGCAATTTCAATATATTTTTTTATTATTTTTTTATTTCATCTGCATCGAATAAAAAATTAGTACTATAATTTTTTTTCAAAAATTTATCCAAAACAATCTATTATCCAAACATACCTGTACAACTCGTAAGTCCGTGGATTTCTTGATTCATACCCAAAAAAAAAAAAAAAAGAAATTTTTTTGCACATGTCATCAAAACTTTATCACGTTGTTGACTTTCTTTAGCTGAATGAAGGTGGTACCATTGGCAATGGGTCCACGACATACGAATCCATGATCAATGTAAGTACTAATATATCTTCTTTAATTGTAAAATAAACTCATTAATACTACTGCCTGCAGAAGCCATCATTATCCATTCCAACGAGTCCACACCCGGTTTTGTACTTCTAACGGTCTAAATGCAGCAGCAAATCGTATCTCAAACTTACCTTCTTCTTGATGACAAACGTTAAAGAATTCTACGTCATTGCGGGGAGCAGAACAAATAATGCTAGAGCCCAAACGTTAGTGTCTGCATGGGATCTGAGTATCCGCCTCCCTTCAATTTGGAAAGCATATATGCCCCATATATAAGCAAATTGACGCAGACTTTTCCAGGAAGAGAGGAGCATCTGTAGATCAAGATGGAATCATGATAGAGAGACCTGGTGGAAGCCTGAATTAATACCTCAACACGTTTCTCAGCTCAACCCGGTGTCCATTTCGTTGGAGAGCATATCTGCGGTTTCCAATTCCAGATAGATATTCAACAATGCTAATATGCATTATGATAAGAGTATTTGCGTCTGGTTGGATTTTGGAGCTCAGCATCGAATATTTAAGAGATCTTCATGTGGCATGCCATTTAGTTTCCTATATTCCTTCAACCTTTTCTAAACTTTTTTCTTGTGATGGTGCATCAATTAATGTCATAGATTCTTGACAAGACAGCAGGATGCTCACTGGATAGTGGAAAGGCAATAATAGAAAGAGCTTGGGAGAGAGGAGAATCTGTGCGCTAGCAACAGGCTGCATAACTAAAGGGAAAGGGTTTTCTTGGAGATGATAAACTATTAAATGTTTTTTTGGAGCTACAAACAGATAATTTTACTTCCTCAAAGGAAAACATACCGGAGATTCAGAGAACACTGGTAAGGTAACAAATCTAATCTACTGATTCTCTTAGACTTTCCCAACAGCAAAGTAGTTAGTAGTGTCAGGTAACTAAGTAGTAATCTAAAATCGTTCGTTCTCTTCTTGCTCAAAAAATTAATAGTAGTAGTTATCTAAGAATGTGCAATTACTCTGGGGCTATCTACTTATCAACTGCTTAATTTCCAATGCTAACTTGCATCATATAATAATAACAATTCAACTTTTATGCTTACCGTTAAAAGTTAAAGAAATCTAACTGACATTGTATGTACTCAGTTCTCGACTGCTGGAAAGGATGACAAAACTGGTAAAAGAATCCACAAACTCCATCCATATCAAATAACACTACCATTATGACAACCGGTTAACCACTATATCTGCAATTGAATGAATTTCAGGTGCAAGACTGATAAAACTAAAGTGTCTACCTACTGAAACCCTCAAGGATTCTCCAAGATAAAAACACGTTCCAAGAGGAGTATAATCTAACTATGTGTCTTCTTGATGGTGCAGGACAGCAAAGCTAAAAAGGCAAAGCCTGCACCACAGGGATGCCTGATCTCTAGCTGAGTGCACTAGGTCAGGGACCCCGCTTCGGGCCGAAACAGAAACACCCACGAGCCAGGTCTTCAGGTACCATGCCACCCCCCTTGCTAGTATCTATGGCCGCTAACAACCTCACAACCTCATCCATCTCAGGGCGTTTATCTGGATTCGCATCCCAGCACTTTCTCATGACACTCGCTAACGCAC